CAAATTTCTCGAGTAAAAAGTTTTCAAAGAGAACGCCATTTTGTTTTGTGCTCTCTTAAATTAGAGTCAATGTTTTACCAGATTTGTTTGTGGGTTAAGAAACGGTTTTCAAGTAAAAAAAAAATGTAAAATGAGTAGATTCTTTTAGGTTCTGGAACGGAATTTATGTTATTTGCAGTTCGCCCAAATAGTTTACATGTCCTCCTTTCCTAACATTCGGAGCGAAAACTTACGGAAATCAGAAAAGCTATATTAAAGTTGTTCGGAATTTTCTTTCACACTTGAAATTCCTAGGATAAAAAGCTATACAGATTTTTGTCATCGTTGGACCGCGAGAAAACAATTATGCTTCGCTTTTAATGCAAACATGTCTGCCTTCGACATCTGCTTTCCTCGATATACACATTTTTTTTAATGCTCCAATAATTTAAAATAAAGAAACAACTTTGGATCTGAATAAAATTAACTTTCGCTAAGAATTCACATAATTAGACACGTCAAGTACACGCTTACCTTTTTTCATCAATTTGAAATGTAATCGAATTCACTGGCGGCCTCAGTAATAGTGAGTTGGTATTCCCTTTCATTTCTTTGTTTTTGGTTTTATCTTTGAAATTAACCCTCATTTGAAAAACGTGACGGACATTTCAATTGAAGAAATGGTCTGAATGAATGCAAGTAATTCAATAATACTTTTGGACATCTGTGGACATTAAAAGTAAAGCAAATATAAATGTCTTCTATACTAACTACCAAAAATTTGGATAATATTAAACCAATTATTAAGTCAGAATATCATCGAAAAGGTATTTATTTATTTTTTAATTAAAAAACGCCAATTGTCTAGTTTACCAAAAAACCCAGAATGAATGAAGCAATGATGAGCATGAATTACTTAAAAATATAAAAAAACAATCATTCTACCGAAAGTGACTGATGGCTGGCTGTAATGTCGTCGACATTGTTGTCTCTTTTTTGTCGTCTATGTCACATTTGCAAAAAAATACATCAGTCAGTCCTCCATTTGTTTCGAACTGTCTGTCTGTCTTTTCGGTTCTTTTTGTAAAGTTCTTCGTGAATTTAATGGCATGAGTTCAGCAAGTATCTGTCTGTGCCACTTTCAGACTTTGAGACGAGCGACTACTACTTGAGTTTTTTCTTTCTGTTTTGGTTTAAATATTGTGTGCCTTTGTTTTTGAAAGTGTAGCAACGCTGTTAGTCGTCGTCATTAAATTTCATTCATTGGGATGTAAGTTTCCTCTATATGAGGTATTCATGGGAATTTGAGGAAATTTATCAAAATTAAAATCGAATTTCTACTAAAATCAATTGTTGATTTTACGACGTGGTTTATATTTAGAATGATGACATGTGTGGCAAACAAAAAATTTAATATTGTAGTATTAGAGGTTTCCAAAAAACCTATAAAAATATTTTTGATGGAACAAACCTAACCTATCGTAATACAATATCTTCGGTGTACCAATAATTTTTAATTTTGATTAGTATACTAAAATTTTACGAAAGTAGTTTTCCGGACCCATTGGTCAGAATATCTGTAGAAATATCCATTCAGTTAAAACGGATATTATGCCCGGAAATACTACAATTGTGTACACCACCTTCTTATTGTTTTTTTTTTTTTTTTTTTTTTTTTGAACATATTTTTATTTTCTATTTTCTTTTTAATTTGAGAAATTACATTTTTAATGCTCCTGCTGTTGTTTTTTCCTGTGCGAGTTTATGACGGTGGAGACTCCAAAAAGAAACAGAACTGGATAGCAAAACAGCATGACACCAGCTATCAAGAAGCTGTTTTTGTTTTTCTTCTAAAGGTTTACAACACACATACACATACTTATGTATGTACTTGTACCCTGAGAGATGTCATCTTAAAACCAGGCACAATCTCACTGACTCACACACATACACACACTCCATAAAGACAAATCTTAAAGTCCTTGAAAATAATTTATCTTGTTTCTTATTTTAATATACAAAATACGATGAACATGCACATTCATGAAAAGCATGCATCGCAAGAATATGTACATGTGAGTGTGTTTACTTCATGCGTGTTCAACTCATGCAATTCAAACAATACCCAGAGTAAATTGAAAGATATGGCACAGAACAATTTCACTGGATAAAAGAAGAATATTAGGAGGTGGACAGAAGGAGAGGGACGGACAGACGTACGAAGAACGGTCCAAAACAAGCATTTGTTGTTTATCAACGTCATCATAAACGAATAGATATCTTCCTACTGCATCTACTATTTGCAGGCCCTTCGTATGCATTGTGTCTGCTATAATTTGCTGCATTTCTTTTGTGACGCAGTCGGTATTCTGGCTATTCTTAAACATAAGAGTACGTCCTAAAAGTTGGCAACCAAGAAAGAAAGAAAGTCACTGTCAACGAAGAGACAAATTGATACCCTTTCGAAAATGAGGGTGGTTTGCTGTTCCATGTTATTTGCCATAAAGGCGAGGTGGAGGGAAATTTAAAAATGTATGTGTCATGCTAGTTATAGTTAATGGATTTTTTTTTATAAATCGTCAACTATGCACAGTAATGATCTTTACAAATTTAACATTGAATTTAAAGGACATTTTTGAAAATACATTATAGTGGATAGTTTTTATATATATATAGGGTTTTCCAATCTAGCGACTACAACTTATATATACATGCTTCGAAATATTCGCTCAGGCAATGGGGCCGCGAGTATTCGAACTATTGCAATTATAATTTGCTCCAAAGGGTCTTAACTTCTGATTACAAATTTGAACTGCTGATCCGAATGAATAGGCTTTAGCCACAGCCTCCTTTGATTGCAGGGTCATCGTACATTACAATTTTCTACAAATCAAATAGGTTAAAAAGGAATTTTTTAATTTCGTTTTTATATCGTGATGTACGTCTCGTGACAAATGACAACTACAAAAAATAGTAATGTTTATATCGTTAGCTAAAATGCAAAAAGGCGTAACTAACAAAAAATTGAATATTTACTTTTTGAATGAATATTGTGAATGTCAACAAACTACATGTGTTGACAAAGTTTTATGTGTCTGCGGTCAAAAAGGAGCTTCTATTAAAAAAAAAAAAACAAAAAAAAAACGTAACTACAAGTGGGTTTATTTGATAAATGCAAAAAGGCGTAACTAACAAAAAATTCACGTTTTTACTTAATTGTTATCGCTGCTATTAAACTAAATAACTAAATTTGTTAAAAAAAATAGTCTATTATTCGTCATATGCAATATCACCCTGCCGGGCATACTTTTTTTGACATGTTTTAAGTTTTTATTCAAAACAGTTTTTTGCTTCTCCTACACGCTTTTGTTAGTTACGCCTTTTTGCATTTTAGCTGACGATATACTTTTATAGATAAGGCAACAAGAAACTCATTAGCTTAGTTTGTATATTAGGGTGTTTAAAATTCTAATATTTTAGATGTTTGGCATTGAAAATTCATTATTCATATTTGTAATATTTTGCAGGAATTTGTCACATTGTTTTAAAGATTTGATTTCAATTTGCTCAATTCGTAAACATAGCGGTTATAGCGGCGGGGTTATTTGATATAAACAAAATCATTTAAGTCTTTACTTCACCCACCCTAGTATAAAATCCATTCACCTTGGAACTCGTAGAAAATTGCCATCATTTTCTTTTTTTTTTTTTTTTTGCAAAAGTGGTAGATAAATTGTTCTATCACTGATAACATTTCTATAATGTGTGGGAAAATAATAAGGTTTGCTGTGATAGATTGGTTGGTTATATGTAATAATGGCTTTCAGCTTACTTTTTAAGGGTGTGTGTTTTTGTAAAAGCCACCAAGCTACTAAGTATTAAATATTAAGTTGGGGAAAATAAATCCATTATTTTTATATGAACTATAGGACTTTATTTAACATGCTTCGGAAAGTCCGATTTGGGCCAAATATGCACCGTCTTGTTGTATGATTTGTTGCCATTTTAAAGTTAACTTCATAATGTCTCTCTCATAGAAGTCCTGCTCTCTATTTGATCCCTAGATATTAATTTTTTATCATTTAAGAAATTTTGCAATGCCAATAAATAAAAATAAAAATTGAAAAATCTACAATAAAAATGTGATAAAAATCTAAAGTCTAATTGGAGATTTGTTTTCCATTATTACCAATACAAGTCGAATATTCGATATTAACAAACATAATGTTAAATTGTAAAGACCTTCTAAAAATCGACATTAAGGTCATTGATCTTAATGTTTATTCTAATGCACAATTTATTTATTGTTGTTACTCTTTACATTGAAGATGTTTTGTTCTGTGAAATGGCGTTGGCATCATTCAGTCAGTCTATCAAATGCACTCTCCCACATTCACCCAATGAATACATCTTCGTTTCTTCAATTCATTCATTTGCGTCAGAAATATTTTCCGATTATACAAAGGCTGACATGTTCGCCATCGACCTCTTTCAACAGAGGAAAGACTTATTCCGAAATCATTTGCACTTGTGCATCTAATCGTTTAGGATCTCACGATTTCAAGTTGATATACATGTCATCCGCAGCGTATTCTCAGTTGCAGCTTCGATTGTTGTTGTTGGGCATCCGTTGCTAGATATGAAAATGATTTAACGGGGTGGGGGATGTGATTTAACCCCAGCAAAGAACTTCATCCGTGGCAACAAAAGAAACTAGGAAACAAAAAAGCAATCATTATGTTGGCAAGAAAAAGTGGAACAATGACTTTTAAAGATTGGTCTTAAGTTTGTGGGCAACAATTGCCGCCACGTCTTTAATTCCCCGAACACGACATTTACATTTCATTTTCATAATTTCCCATCATAGGGTCGTTGTTTTCAATTATTTTGTTCCCATCCATTGTTGTATATACTCTACTTTTGTTTCTTATTTTTTTATATATGTATTATTATATTAACAACTAAAACCAAAATCCTAAATCCTTTTTGATGTTATATCTTCTATTCCACTTCTATTTTAGGTACACTACACAGACTTCCACACCGTGATACAGGAAAATATCAAATGAATTTAGGTAAAATATAACACTTTTATTAAAATTGTTTTCCAAATTGTTTTTTTTTTCTATAACACATAATATCTGATAATAATTAACTTTTAAAATACCAACACAAGTATGTAAACACATTGCCATGGAGTAAACGAAATTCTGACGTCGAAGTACCTGTGAATTGTCAAACCCGTCATAATGTTTGCATTTCATTTAATTTCATTTTTTTTTTTGCCACATTGTTTAACCAAACATTGTCTGTCGCAAAAAGTGAGCGTGGTGAAGCATTGCAAAATGTTTTCTCACCTGACTACGAGATAAGATAACAAAAACGCAAACAATGACATAGTTTTTTTATTTCTTGTATTTAAATAATTAATTTTCATCAAGAATATTTATTGGATAATACATTTTGATCGATTTGTCGGAGGGAGAGTTATTAAAAATGACGTCCAGAAAAACATATTTAAATATGATTTAAAATCATATGGTATTCGTAAAGATCGGCTACATCTTCAAACCCTTTTGATATTTCTTTGAATTAAATTTTCCTTAAGAAAAACCTATATTCATATCTTTTTTTTATAAAACTTATTTTGAAATTAAAACATATAAAACTACTCATGTACTCTGGCTAGGCTAGCTCCGAATTGTTTATATAACTGAAATGTGTATTGATTTGAATTTATTTTATTATTTGGTGACACATTAGCAAACAATTCAAAATATTATAGAAAAATTACATTCTATAAAAATATTTCCGAATTTCAGAAAATGTAAAAGGGTAAAATTTACTCCCGTCCAAAGGATGTTCCACAATCCAAAGGATATTCAACATCACAGGAGGTCCTTGAGGCTTTATGGTCACCCAGTGACCGAAAAAGAAATCATGACTATTTACAAGAAATCTATTATTTTTCGGATTTTTATTTTAAAAATATTGCATAGTTTTCTGAAAAATACCCGCGTTCGAAATACTGTTTTTACTAAAGCATTCGAAGGTTGAAATTAACTGATCAGCATATATTTTCAAAAATATCAATTCGAGAAAGAGAGTCTTAAATTCATGTCTAGGTACAATACCTCAGCCAATCTCAGATCGGCTCGAAATTTTTTGCAATTCTTTTTTAAAATGAGTCAAAACCGTTTGACGTATCAACTACTTAAGACCAGTTCGTGAAATAGACTTCGGATGATTTTATTTTAATTGAAAGATTCTAAGTGAAACCATACTTTTCTTTTGAATTAAATGAAATAAAATATATATCGGGTCATATTTGTATTTTTTTCTCATATATTGCTTCAACACAAAATGATTTTTTATGAAGACGGGATGTGTGCAAGATATGAATATCCACTCCATTCAGTAGTAATAGTGTCTGGCCCTCCGATTTATTTGCCGTCGTATATTATGTGAGCTGAAGAACAAAAAAGACTTCTCATTGTATTCTAATCCCAATAAGGAAATACTATTCACTTAATTTTAATTTCCTTGCGATTCTGTGTAGCAATAACAAATGATCACCAGTGCTGTATTGGCTGGGCTGGGTGTTCCCCCTGAACTCTTTTGTCACACATCAGTAAATTCCTATGAGAACTTTTTTAACGTTTTTTTAGATGCATGGTTTTATGACTATTTCTTTATGAATGGCTGGATTTGTGCCAAGGAAATATTGTTTTGCCTTCCTCCCACCCGTTTTTTTCGGTAGGAGATTATTGGCTATTGTTAAATGTGCGTTCGGCGTGCGCTCTGCATACGTATTGGGTCATTATTGTTAATTCAGTAGGTCAACATTAAATGGTTTGTGGAAGCATTAGGCATACCGTAGGAAGAGATTATAGATATACGATATGAATTAATTACCTGGTTTAGAACATTTAATAATAATTTAATAATAATAATAATTAATTTTCGATTTCCTTTACTCATTTTGAATAAAAGCCCATAAAGAATTATTAACCTATATTATTAATGTCTTTCCATCATCAACAAATCGTTAATTTCTTTGAGTGTACCGCTGAGAGTGATGCGTATATTTTTTGTTGTGTGTGTGTGTCTTGGATTTTCATGAAAAGTCATGCGTTTGTTTTTTATTCCGGAACTATTATAGCTTCCGTTTCCATTTACCCACAAACATGATTAACAGTTCTTTTCATTGTTTATGGAAAATTGTTATTGTTGTTCTATTCGGTTTTGTTTATTAGCTGCTGGCACATATATGGCTCACACAGACACACACACACACGTGGTCAGTTGCACACCCATTCCCCAATATTGTATCTGTTTTCATTTATTTTGTATGTCTGTCTACATGGTGAAGTAAAATAATTTAAATATTCAACCAAAGTGTAAATGATCAGATATGGGTCGTTCCGTTCGAACTTCTCCATAATGTAGGAGTTGAGTAAAACTGATACCCAGTAAATATTGAATATTTGTTGCTTATGATTTGAATGTCACTTTTATGTTTTAATTATATGTAATTATTGAAGATTCTTTGCTATCAAAACAACTCTCACGCAGTTTACATACACAACTTCACAATAAAAGTTGTGAAGACAGCAGTGTAAGCATTTACGTGGATAAGATAACGAAAATATGTAGCTCTTTATCTGTTACCATTCTTTCTTGATTCAATCGATCTTCTTCTATTCATCTCAAACTAGTAAATATTTAATTCAATGTTTTTTTTTTCTTAGCTCCAATGTAAAGACCCACATTCAACCTAATTTTAATAATTGTCATACTTCCTGAAATGTCGTCACTTATTTCCATACCTCTACACATGTAGGTATCTCACACACACATTCGAATTTATATTCTAAAGAGAAAACACACAACGTCTGCCGACACCTTTGCTTTTATTGACATTTTTATTTGTTTATAATTGCATTACCGTATGAAGGTGTTGTCGGGAATATTAATTTAGAAAATTAAAAATATAGGTATTAATCACATAACAGGATACTGGAATATGAGGTTGCAAAAAAAGTCATAGCCCTAATATATATATATATATATATATATCTTGAAAACGAGGCCTATACTTCGGTTGGTTATTTTTCACAATTACAATATAAAAGTGAGTTGACTTCAGCAAAAAATAACTAATAAAAGTTCGTAGCAGATCCAATAATATTGGAGCTGTAATATTGTTTGTAACTAAAATATTCGTCTCTTAACACGTAACGGTGGAACAGTGATTCATTTCCTATTTTGGAGTTCCAGATGTACTGACCAGGTTTCACATCTTTGGTTTTGGGGGTAAATTACAAAATTTGTTCCGCGTCATAATTTTATGAACATAATATAATTTATATTTTTCAATTGTTAATTATATATTATCCTTATTGTCAATATTCGTAGTTATCGCATTGCACATAGTCAGCATATTAAAATTGTAAGCATGAATATATCTTTAGTTTTGTTTCAGATTCTTTCTACCTCATTTAATCAATTGTTACGGTCTAATTTGCAATGAGTTCAATGTTTTTATTGACCCAACCAAGAAATGTAGGTGTAGTTTACACAACCACCGCCGCCCACTTATACATCTAATATGAAAAAGGTCATTACTCATGCGTGATTAGAGCTATGGCAAAGACAAAAAACACTTGGATATGTTTGAACACATTAAAAGTATCATCCATCAGTACCACAAATGATATCGGTTAGAGATTTTATTTTTGTTAAGATTCATATTTGCAACAACGACTTGGATTTATTTGTTTGTGGTATTAGGTTGTCTGAATCGTCGCGTCTCAAGAAAACTAATGCTGAAACCACTACCACAGAAGTATCAGTAACATTAACATGAATCTCTAAAAGCGAAACTGCATATTCAATTTAAAATTTGGCAGTGTTGAATAGCAAGATTTTGGCATCGAAAATATATATAATAGTATTAATTTTTTTTTTTTTTTGTGAAAATGTAAAATGTAGGAGCCAAGTATCAAAAAGATCGCATGAAGAGTTTTAAGATGAGCTCTCTCCTTAACAATTCGTTATTATTTTTAATTGTTTTTTTTTTTAATTCTGAAGGGGCATTCTTGTATGATTAAGTTTCGAATTAAATAAAAATATATGTCCTTCAACAAAATCCCATATATGAAACTAAATCATTTCGTTTGGGTACACAAATTACCTTGTAAACTCATCTACATGGGCCACTATAAAACTTCCTCCTTTCTCTCAATGCCTCCGTTTTGTGGGATGACAACATTCTCATATAAAATTCCCAACGTAGAAAATTCTCAACATTACATACCCACAGATACATTACATCATTCTTAAAACCCACATGAATAGACAACATTCCAAGCTGTCTCAATGTGAGAGCGAACCTTTGTCAAGAACACAATGGAAAATGTCCGCAGCTTAAATCTTTTCGCATATTCTACTGTCGTAGCGCAAAAAACAAAATAAACAAACAAAGATAGACCAGAATTATTTAATGAATTTAGAGAGAGAATGAGGAGGAAACAAGTTTAGTTGAGATTTTTCACTTGAATGACTTGCCGAAGAAGAATAGCTAGAAAATAATTCTTTACAACTTCTTGTCGTTCAGTTTTCCTTTTGTTGTTTTTGTGTTTCCATTCTGTATCTTTTTCCACTTTCTTTGTCTTTATAAATTTGTTGTTATTAGGTTTTTGATTATTATTTTTTTTTGTCGAAACAGTTGTTGAAAGTCATTGTTATTGTCATGGCTCTTCCTGTGCCGAGAAGTGGCAACTGAGATAGGCGGTAAAGCTGTCATAGCTCATTTCACCTTGGCATTTTTATTTTAGAAAATTACCTTGGAAATGTTAAAAGAAGCGAATAATATTTAAAAGAAATGTCTGTCATGTGTATATAACAATGGAAAATAGCACTGTGTGTGTTAGTAATGGTAATGACTTAAACATCACCACTTAAATAATATTCCTGACACTAGATTAGTCCATAATTTTTCTCCAATTCCGGAAAATGTTCCAATTGAAAGTAGTGACGAATAAAATATATGTATGTATAACATGTTTTTTTAAAAGTTAATATTCATATTTTTATTTTTTTTTCACTCTACACTACTCCTGTCAACAATTCATTAGAGAATCGTAAAATTGGATTTGCTCAATCTTACTTTGTCTGTTCCTTTGGTGTGCGTCTGCCATATATTCAACAAATTCCCTGCAGAAATCAAACATCGGGGATACGTTTCATTGTCGCACTATAGCACAATGTTCACTGCAAACGTGTTTTGTAATTGAATTCTGTCCCGCGAGGATGTATGATTGATATGACAGGCCTGGGAAAAATCAAGGCCACTACATTTTTATTTTAGCAATTAGGAAGTAGTCTGCAATGATTGCTGTAATGTGACACGTGGAAACATTTAAATAAGCTCGGAATTTTATATAAATGATATTGCAACTTAGTAAAAAAATCAATAAATTCAAATGGATTTCCAAGATATACCCTTGAGAAAAATACTTGCTGTTGAGACAAAATCGAAACACATTCGATAATTCAACGTAAATATATTATCAGAATCAGTCAATTTTATTTTCAAATTTATTTTATTCCCATAATAATGCATTATATACTTGTTATATTTGCAGAAGCTTTGCTACAATCACGTCCTCTGCCTCACATACCTCCAGGCTCCACAATACTGGGAGGGGTCAGCGATACCTCAGATCATTTGGGCCAAGATGGTATTTCGCTACATACCACACAATCGCATAGTCAAGGACATAGTTCTACAACATCAGGTTTTGAATCTGCTCACAGATGGACTTCTAAAGAGAATCTCCTAGCACCTGGTCCCGAAGAAGATGATCCACAGCTATTTGTGGCTTTATACGATTTCCAAGCGGGCGGTGAAAACCAATTAAGCCTAAAGAAGGGCGAACAAGTACGCATACTGTCATATAATAAATCCGGCGAATGGTGTGAAGCTCATTCCGATTCGGGAAATGTGGGTTGGGTGCCCTCGAACTATGTCACGCCACTTAATTCGCTGGAAAAGCATTCTTGGTATCATGGTCCTATATCACGCAATGCAGCCGAATATTTGCTCAGTTCCGGTATAAATGGCAGTTTTCTGGTCAGAGAAAGTGAAAGTTCACCAGGTCAAAGAAGTATAAGTTTAAGGTATAGCCTCAATGAAATCAAATTCGAATCAATATTTTGTATCATTTGTTTTTTCTGCTGTGTTTACAGATATGAAGGTCGTGTTTATCATTATCGTATTTCCGAAGATCCCGACGGTAAGGTTTTCGTTACAGCTGAAGCCAAATTTAATACTCTAGCCGAACTGGTACACCATCACAGTGTACCGCATGAGGGTCATGGACTGATTACACCCCTCTTGTATCCTGCACCAAAGCAAAATAAACCAACAGTATTTCCCCTTAGTCCTGAGCCGGATGAGTGGGAAATCTGCCGTACTGATATTGTAATGAAACACAAATTGGGCGGCGGCCAATACGGCGAGGTATACGAAGCCATATGGAAACGTTATGGCAATACTGTGGCTGTTAAAACACTCAAAGAGGACACAATGGCCCTTAAGGATTTCCTTGAAGAGGCAGCCATTATGAAAGAAATGAAACATCCAAATTTAGTGCAACTAATTGGTAAGTAATACACATACAACAATACGTAGGGATAGGAAAGTAATTAAATATTGAAGTAAAAAGTAAATACCAACTAGCTATCAATTCAGAAAAATCTCTTCCTCGCGGAATAACATTTTAAAAGGAAATCTTAGAAATATGTTACTACACTTTATCTGAAAAAATTGAAATGCTTAATGGAATGATGTATAGTTGTATCTGTCAAACTAATTATACATATACGAGCCTACTTCTTTTTTCTCTATTTCATATCCCTATTCTTCTAATCATTTTTCACGCTCTTTTTCAGGTGTTTGTACAAGAGAGCCTCCTTTTTATATTATCACCGAATTTATGTCACACGGTAATCTTTTGGATTTCTTACGCTCCGCTGGCAGAGAAACCTTAGATGCTGTGGCTTTACTATATATGGCAACACAAATAGCTTCGGGTATGAGCTATTTGGAATCTCGTAATTATATACACCGTGACTTGGCCGCCCGTAATTGTTTGGTCGGCGACAATAAATTGGTAAAGGTAGCCGATTTCGGTTTGGCTCGTCTGATGCGTGATGACACCTATACGGCGCATGCGGGCGCCAAGTTTCCCATCAAGTGGACCGCCCCCGAGGGATTGGCCTACAATAAGTTCAGTACGAAGTCCGACGTTTGGGCATTTGGTGTTCTTCTGTGGGAAATCGCGACATATGGTATGTCACCATATCCGGGCATTGATCTAACCGATGTCTTTCATAAGCTGGAGAAAGGCTATCGCATGGAAAGACCGCCGGGATGTCCACCAGAAGTGTATGATCTTATGCGTCAGTGTTGGCAATGGAATGCGGCGGATAGGCCGACATTTAAGAGCATACATCATGCTTTGGAACATATGTTTCAGGTGGGTGAATTATGGGAAAGTGGTTGTGGTGTTATTGGTGTTGGTGGTGGAGTTGGTGTTGGTTACCATAGGAATGACGATGATCATAACATTGATGGTGACGATGAATATGAGGACGACGGCATTGAGCTTTGATTTCAACTCACGGATCACGATCGTGAGTGGACACAACATCAAAATCATGGCTATAACAACAATGCTTTACTACATTGTAGAGACATTACTAATAAAAGACTAGAAATCAATTGTTTAGATAAAGCAAATAACAATAATAATGGACAAGCTCATCTTAATTTCTTCGATCTGCAGGAATCATCTATAACTGAAGCGGTCGAAAAACAACTGAACGCCACTACAACGACCTCAGCAACAACGACAAATATCGCTCAAAGCCTAACGCCACAAATGACGAAAAAGGGCATACAGGGTGGTGGCGGCGGAAGTGGTAGTGGTAATAGTGGAGGAGGTGGTCTGACACCAGGTGGTCATCACGATCAGCAAGCCAGTACACCAATGTCAGGTAAGTCGAAAATATATCTATATAACATTATGTCCATAAAACCAACCAAGTTTGCAACTCGGTTCCACTTGTAAATTTATTTCAAATTATAGAAACTGGTTCAACATCAACAAAACTGTCGACGTTTTCCAGCCAAGGCAAAGGCAATGTACAAATGCGTAGAACCACCAACAAGCAAGGCAAACAGGCCCCAGCTCCACCCAAGAGAACAAGGTAAACGATAATTGTAATGTTGTACTCAGTGGCATTTTGAATAATGAACAAATCTCCAATTGTCTCTTGCAGCCTTCTGTCATCGAGTCGTGATAGCACTTATCGTGATGAAGATCCAACGAGTGCATCTACTCGACAACTGATCGATGAAATGCACACAAATGGTAAAACTGTTTACAGATCGTTTACCTTAAGTAGAACTTGTAAACCCTTACATTCGACCTTTTATTCTGCTTTCAACAACAACTACAACAACAATATCAGCAAAAATTATAACAACAGCAACAAATCCTTTGTTGTTAACAATCCCTCTTCTTGTACACAAAAGTTACAGAAGAACGAAATTCAAAATTCTGTCCCCCTCAATCCTACAACGGGGTTTGCTATTAAAAAATCCTCCTCATGCAGTAGTTTTCTAGTTGATATATTATTTCGAGGTATTTGTCCGAAGCGCAGTAAGACGAAATGTATTTTATTTTTTCTTCCTTTCTTTTTCTTGTATTTGTGTTGTTTATTGTTTTTGTCTTGTGTTATTTTTATGTTCTTATTTGCAAATATGTTATTTTTTTTATATTTAATTTTGAGTTTTGTATATTTTTAGTTTTATTATTTAAATTACTAACATAGTAGTATCACATTTGATGATTTATTGGTTTCAATCGGTTATTTTATTGACAACAAAATTAATCTCCTGATAATTTACGCTTTAATATCTGGTCTAATCGGATTAGTTTTTTCTTCTTTTAATCTACACTTTAATTCTGCAGTTTTTCCTAGTTTTATTTTGTTTAATATACAATGTATGTACACAGTTGGAATATAAAGTATTTAGGTATACAACTAACACATGTATATGAGGAAGGATATTTATTTTACCGGAAGAATAAGTAATGCTCAACACAAATTCGTACTCATAGACTAGCGATATTACAGTAATTAGGTATGTTTAATAGCCCAATAATTTGTAATGTTTGCTACTGCGTGTACAAAAGTAATAGTAGGTTTTGTAAGGTGAGGTTGAAAAGAGGGGCGGTCCCACCACATATTCTGTTTTTTATGCTCCCAGAAAGGAAAATATCGCTATTCTTCTATGAGTTTTGTGTTCTTTCACATTCATCAATTTTGTTTGAAAGTTGTTCAAATGTTTTTCTTGCAATGGACACAGTATAATTTTACGTATTTCAAGAAAATTTACATTTAGAAATATTTATAATTAATTTTGTAAAATCTCATTATAATTGAGTATGTGGTAATTGTAGGTGTCTGTATTTGTTATGTCTTTTTTGTTATATTATTATTTGAATTTAATGAACAGTGTCTCACAAAAAATTAGATAATCGAATGCACATCTAAAAAGTAAAAAAAAAATACTTAATTATAGAATTATAATTCTGATGCCAAAGTCGTATTACGAATTACATTTTTCTAAAAACTTTTCGATTTTTGTGGGACACTATACTTATATGTAGTATTTTTGTTATCATTTTTAGTTATTTTTTATAGTTTCTGCTTTACATTCATTTTCTTGCTACGCTTTGGAATGTGGAAAAACGATTTACTGCCCGCAATAACCTCGCAACGTTTCAAATTACAAATCATCACCTAATTCATTTTTTTACCTCTTCCATTCTACCATCTTTTCTTCAACTATCTGTAGGATTACTAGTTGGCAAGTAAATATCCATCTAAACATATCCATTTCTTTATCTCAAAACAGGTTTGACACGTGATATTAACAATTTGAATCAACGCTATGATTCGGAAAATGATAATGCCGGTGGGGGCGATCCCGATACTGATCATACTGGCGATAGTCTGGAACAGAACCAACCAAGTCAACATCAGCAACAGAAAATGCAACATTCGATGCATGTTACCGCTGGCAATAATATTGCTGCCCGAGGAGCTCAAACACATTCCTCATTCAAAAGACCAACTCCTGTTATGGGCAATCGAGGTTTGGAAACACGACAAAGTAAACGATCTCAACATCCCAGGCCAGATACATCAAATCAAAATACCGTTGGCACGGCTCAACCTATACAAGTGGGAGCCTTGGAAGTCATGAATGTCAAGCGAGTCGTAAATCGATATGGCACTTTGCCCAAAGTGCAGAGAATTGGACAATTTTTAGACAGCTTGGAAGATTCTAATGACAGCACCGCAGGAATACTTCCGCAGCCTCCCCAGCCAAACACTAACGTCGTTACAAATGGCCTCGGCACTCGAGTCCTAAATTCAGCAGCCAAAACACCCGTTGCAGGTACTCCATTAGCTGCGCCATTGCCCCAGCAAATGATACGAAGCAATTCATCGGGTGGCGTGACCATGCAGAACAACGCAACGGCCAGTCTAAATAAACTTCAAAGGCATCGTACAACTGCTGATGGCAGCAGCATGATGACATTTTCCTCATTCCGAGGCAACAGTTCAAGTAATTCTCCCAAAAGAAACCAGCAACCAGCTTTGGCCAATTTAGAGTTTCCTCCACCACCGTTGGATTTGCCGCCACCCCCAGAGGAGTTTGAAACTATGCCTCCTCCACCTCCACCACAGCCAGATTGTGATATTGTTCCTCCATTCCCTATGCAATCCCAACATCAGCAGCAACAGCCGCCGCAATACTCCGTCGGAAATTTAGCAGCTAAAACAAGTTGTAATGATGTTTCAAATACGGCACCCAGTGTGGAAGAAGCCAGCTCAAGGTTCGGTGTTTCATTAAGAAAACGAGAACCATCGACAGACTCGTGCAGTTCACTGGGAACTCCAGCTGCCCCAGACAATAACAACGGCAACCAGAGCCAAGACATGAAGGAAAAACTCATGGCCGAAATCAAAGACCGGCAAGTAAAAGAAAATAATTCTACATCAGCTAATATACAAAATGGAAATGCCGGCGGTGTTGATCCGGTTTCATTGCTGGTCAATGAATTGGCCGAAAGCATGAACTTGCCTAAACAAGCAAAGGTTGCCACAAACAACACATCACCGAAATCTCCACCTACTATGCCGGAGACAAATGCAAGTAACTCGAACACTTTCAAAGCTCAACTTAAGAAAGTCGATTCGAAGAAGGTACCGACACCCACCCAGAAACCCGATGCTCCATCAAATATAATCGATTTTAAGGCACATTTGCGCAGAGTTGAAACAAAGACAAATGACATTAAAGACAACAACCAGAAAGAATCTAAAAAAGACAATGAAATTGTGATCACAACTAACACAACAAAGACTCCCACAACGACAAATAACTCCAAACCGGCCATATGCTCTGGCTCATCAACCTTAGGCCGTAAAGATAAGGAGGAGACCAAATTCAGTATTGCTTCCAATGCAGGTTCAATTGTGGGCAGTGGTAGCGGCGGAGGAAGCCAAACACAAAAGACTGAAATCAAAATAGATTTACAAGGCCAACATCCCCAACAACAGCAATCCCAAAATACCAACGTTTCGAATGCCAATGTGACGAATGAAAATTCAGTTGAAACGCCTCAGCAGGACAATCCAGCAGTTGAGGGTGGTAAGAGACGTAGTACAGGTAGTATTAATAGTTTGAAAAAATTGTGGGAGCAGCCCGGCCAAAATCAACCAGACTATGCATCTACACAGAGCATGCAAGGAAACTCCGTTAGCACGAATAGCTCCAATCAATTGTCTCCAAAATTTGCATTTAAGCCCTCTTCCGCAGGTGCAGGTGGTCCACAGACCACGCCCACAAACGCAACCAGCGCCACTAATTCGATATCCAACAACACCACTAGCAGCACCACAACCACTATTATGCATCAACGCACTCAAATATCACCAAGATCTAGCAATAACAAACCTCCACCACCCATGCAACCCCCACCACCACCTCCTCCCCAACAACAACAACAAACTCATAATCCCATTACCAACTCCACCGTCTCCAATGCAACCACATCAACAACATCTACACATTTAACCAATTCCATTTCGACACAATTTACAGAGCTCACCAGCAGTAGCAATAATGGCCTCGCCGGCGGCGAACACCAAGAAAGTGCAGCCAATCAAGCCAATAATGATCTCATGACCCAATCAATGTTCGTAGAGAACACCAACTCCTGCTCAACCGCAGCGGGCAACAACAAACTCACCTCGTCGACCATCAATAAACCGGCCGTTCCACTCAAACCCACCAAACTAACGATCTATGCCACACCAATGGCTCAAAAAATTGCCTCAGCAGGCGGGAATACAGACATCCCCACGACTGCAGCCACTCCAAATTCAACGCAAATCTCACGGGAGAGTATCTTGGAATTGGTTAGTCTGCTGGAGGGTTCTCTCAAGCACCCCGTCAACACAATATCCGCCTCCCAATGGCTCCAGTTGAGTGATAAGCTAAACATTTTACAAAATTCATGTGTCGTTTTTGCCGACAACGAATGCATGCCGCCACACTCCAAATTCCACTTCCGTGAATTGGTCACACGGGTCGAGACGCAGTCGCAAAGTTTGCGCGTGGCTGGCACTAAGAACGTCCAGGATAACGAGCGTTTGGTGGGTGAAGTTGGCCAATCATTAAAACAGATAACGAATGCATTGCATAGGTAAATATTAAGAAATGGGGCGGGCGGGGAATTGTGGTTAGATGCAGAAGGGAATTTCATAAAGAGACAGAAATAGGATGTAGTGGAAAACATGCAGTATGTACAAGGGAATTTGAATTTTTGTAAAGGGTGTTTGTTTTAAGAAATTCCCTTCTATGTCTTGGGAAAAATAACGGCAACAATTGTTAAGGATGTTTGGCAGGGGTATTAGCTCGTCTAAAATTATGAAAGAGGATTCGGGTTTTAAAGAATGAATAATTTTGTTGTATTTAACTTTTGAATAAAAAAGTTATATAAAAATGGGTGTGGCCGAATCACTTTCACAATTAACATTCGTCTTTCCAAGGTCGAGAAAACATCTTTAACAATTAAGAAAATAATTGCTTTAGTTTTTTCTTTTGTTGGAACATTTTTACGTCTCGAAAACCACAATTCAAAATTTACGTTTTAATTTGTAAGCAAAGGTATATTATTTATAAGCTTTACATTTTCTTTATATATAAATTATATTCGTAAAATATCGTCGTACATACATATACATATATTTTTTTCGATCATCTATATTAAACCGCAACAAAGAGGATATATTTATAAAATCTAGTCATATAACAAGCAAACAAAAAACACGATGAAAAAAATTATTAGTATGTATATCAAAGAAGAATAAAACGAAAATAAAATTACAAAAAAAAAAAACATTAAAATTAAAATAACGTAAATATTATACCACAAAAATTATTCTAAAACTAAAATTAACTAAAACGAATTATGAAGAAAGAACTCCATTTATATCGTAGATTGTAGAATTTCATAATTACATACGAACAGAATAAAAGAAACAAACACTCATATATACACATATTTATCATATTCATATACGAAAATACATACACAGACTTATGGCATAAATAAATAATTTAGCTATTCCAAAAACCTCAATAAAAATAAAGCCATCGTCGATTTGGTTCTTTTTCATGCTACTTCTTAAGACAATCCCAAATTACTTTCGACCATTTTCCTATTCACGGTTTTTGTTTAAATATATTTTACATTAATTTGCGATTTATATATTTTATGTATTTATTTCAAATGTTTAGCATTAGTCTTAGAATATTATTATATTTTTTAAATATTGTTTATTTTTTCCTATCAAGCCAAATTATTTTTTAATATAAAAAATTATGTTTTTATTAAATTAAATAAAAAGTAATGATAATACTATAAGACTTCAATAAAAAATTTAAGTCATTATCTTCCAAATAATACAAAAATAGAATTATGTTTTATTATTTAGCGACATTGATTTTTTGAAGTGGTAAGGTGCAGTGTCTTTCTATTTATCGTCAACAAATGATTATTCCTCGTGGGAAGTATAGTACACAGTATTTGTTGCATAGATATGTAGAGGTGGACATAGATACGTTCGAAGTGGACATTTCATACAAAAATTTATTTTTGAAATAAAAATGTTCATATTGAACTTCAGATTACCTTACTGCTGTAGTTACGAGGGACCCAATGTAGGCTATTTTATTTCTATTCTACGGGTATGGGTATACAAAAAAAAAATAATTAAAAAAATGTATGTAATGATTTTTATTAAGTTTTTTGTAATTTATTTTATGAATTATGTTAAAAAACTTTCTATTCCGTTTTGGTTACCATATTGTATCAGTAATATTCGATTTAACGAATTCGAGTGTATTACTGCCAAGATTCTTAAAATATTATATATATTTTTTGGTTTTTTTAAGAAACGATTTCTACACAAATAGGACAGTTTTATGAAAAATAGTTTCAAATCCAAGGGTAATATTACATTATTAATATGTTTTCGAATAAATATGTAATGTTTATACAGGCAAATCTTAGCCATGAAGTTAAAGTAAATCGAGATTTCCCATAATTTACAAATAATTACCATTTTGTATGTATTACAACGTTTAGTTTTTCTTTCTAAAATTGTAAATGTTTCCATTCTGTGTTAATTCGTAAAATGCATAAAAAGCTTCCTTTAATAAAGTCAAAGTGAAAATGATACCACCAAACAAGAAACATTACTGGAATACTCAACAAATTATAGTCTTGGATTTCACATTTACTCTAATTAAACTAATTTAACTTAGTAATGCCATAATTATCACAGCATATATTTTTAATTCAAACTAAAAATAACAAAATATGGCAAAGAAAGTAGATTTGATATTCAAATATTAATGTCCATTTGCTGCAATTTTTCGGAAAATAACTACATATTTTTATAATAGACATCGGAAAAAAAAATTTATTATATATAATAGAAATAATTCAAAGCTTTCTCATTTTTTATTTATAGTAGGTATAGTAAGTATAAGTATATCTCTAACTCATAATGCAACTCAGAACAACGCAATTTTCATAAACAAGTAAATACAAAAAGGAAATGAGTACACTCATGCCCTTTAAAAATTATATTATGTGTATGTGTCGGTGTGAATTACTATTATCTTATTATCAACATATACAAAGATATTTATGGACATTGACAAAAGAAATATATATATATTAGCCTTTAGCCATTAAGTACGGCATCTAATCATTAATATAAAAAAATAACAAAATTATATCATCAAATATGATAAAGTGATTAAAAGAAAACTAAAAACAAATACTATTTAATTTTCCATACATATTTTAAATAATGTAACCAATGTTTTAATCATTTAATTAACGTGTTAATCATTTTACAAATTTAATCATTTTAAAACCGCCATCATTAATCTGAAAATAAATATCATTAAATTCCACACTCTTACACATATATTCATGAACAACACATACATTTTCTATTTCAAATAGAAATAAATGCATTTTCTTTCAATAACTGCAATTAGTTGATAAATATTTTATTCGTGTCCAATAAAAAAATAGCAATTTATTTTTGGAGGATCAAATATAAGGCGGATCAAGGGATAAATTATAATACTATTAACAAATGACATTGAAACAAATATATATAATAGTTTTGTCATACCAAACACACGATTTTATTGAAGTGGTAATGAACATGTAAGTATTATTCGAAATCAATTCCGAAAGCATATGCAGTGTTGCTAATAATAAATTTACATTGTACCAGATTAAGTTAACCCAGTGGGTTTTAATTGTCAATTCCATTACATATTTGTCAAATAAATCGTCATAAAGCATGCTAACCCTGCAAAAAGTTATAATGCACATGTAGTTTAACATATGGTCTGTTCCCGTACTGCAAGAATCTACTAGATTTTACTATTTTCTTCGATATCATAAAGGAAAATTCGTTATCGTAGTAAAAATTAGTAGATTCTTGCAGTACGGGAACAGACCAATAATTTGCCTAACTTCTGCAGCCAAAATATTTTGTTCAAATCCCCATTAAAACTCAAAATTAAAATTCACCTAAAGGAATCCTTCGACTTAGTAGACTTCGAGGAAGAAAGGTATCTAGTTTTATAAAACTAGTATAGCCAACTAGATGCTTTCATATGGTCTGATCTGTACTGAACTTTTTTAACTTTTTGAAATTTTATTGTATAAAGAAAAATATCTTACTCTCCCGTTTAAATTTACGAAATCCTCTCGATCTCAAATGTAAATTCCGTAGCGTTTACGTTATAGTCCACTTGATTTGGGAATTGACAATGTAATTGACAATTTAAATTCTCTGGGTTAACGAAATCCGGTACAATGTAAACGTAGTATATGTACTAACCTCTGTGATGATATGGCTACCTTATTAAATCTGTGTTGAACGTAATTTTACGGAGTTTAAACGAACGTTTTGCCGGTTCCTCTCCTCTATGTGGATTTATTTGACATATATGTAATGAAATTGACATTTAGGTCGACGGAATTAAATAAATCAAGTACAATGTAAACGTACTATTAGAACGGAATTATAGTTCATCGTTTTTCAATTGCCGAATATATCTCGATTAGTCATCAATAACGTGTTTATGGATCCCTATTGCCACTGCCGTTGCCTCTCCGGCATAGAAAGTACATCGGCGACACACAACCGTAGTTATAATCAAAACGGCTTTGTTCTCTGTTCACGCAACAACTAGGGATACATAGTCGAGAGTAAAAGTCGACTTTTAGACATTTCGATTTTTGCCTCTGAATTTATGGGTACTAAATGGTACTATATTTGGAACAATTTGTATTGTTTGTAAACCGATTGAGGTGGGATCCTCAAATTTGGAGTTACTATCTTTGTTAGGGGGTTAGAATTGGGGCATGTAGGAAGTTTTGCAAAATGGTACTGGAATCCTGAAATTGAGAAATTTGATTTCTATTGGATTTATATTAATTGGTTTGTTCCCGTACTGCAAGAATCTACAACTTTTTACTACGATAACGAATTTTCCTTTGTGTTATCGAAGAAAATAGTAAAATGTAGTAGATTCTTGCAGAACGGGAACAGACCAAATGTGTACCAAATGGTACTAAATTTGATAAAATTAAGATTTGGGTTAATCTATAGAGCTCAAACCATGAAATTTGGAATAAGATTCGGAAATAAGTACTATTAGTAATGACCAAACCCAACAGTAACATACAGTTCGAAATTGTTCTTTATTAAATGTCCTCCCTTATTCAATTTACTTAATCTGCCTTCCTGGAAGGTTTGAAGAAGCAAATGGAATTTGCAATTTTTAGAAAATTTTGGGTTTGGTATAATAACCACCAAATCGATCTTGAAAAGTCGACTTTGCAATTTCCTCAAAAATCAAAAGTCAACTTCGACTTTTTGACTTTTCAATACAAAAATTCGATTAATCGATTAGTCGAAAGTCGATTTACTTATCCCTAGCAACAACTGAGAACTAAGAGATATTTTATTGGGAAAATTTTTTAAAACGATAGAAAATTAACATTAAACTTTGCAAATCCACTTCGGCAGTAATAAAAACAAAGCAACGTAATTAAATATCGAAATAATAAAACTGTGGAACCAGAAATTTGGATAAAGACGATAAGCACAGAAGAAGACTAAAAGAGAGAAAAAAGTTTTGTCAGCAGTCTGTCCGGTGAACAGTCAGTCACAGTCACACACGAAGAGCAGAGCAGAAAAACGAAAAAAAGCGACAAAAGGCAAGACGACACATTGCAGACGAAGAGCAAGAAGACACCCTTAAATACCACAAATAATAAAAAATAATACCAAGAACACTTACAAACAATTCCATCGCAGCGATTTAAAATTTTATTTTTTGTAAATTTTTAGTTCGTTATTTGTGTGTGTGTACGCGCGTACGTGAGAGGAGGCACGAGAGGATATGCCGCTCTTTGGTAAATCACAAAAGACTCCAGCTGAGCTGGTCAAGTCACTCAAGGAAGCCATCAATGCCTTGGAGACCGGCGGAGATCGCAAGGCTGAAAAAGCCCAGGAAGATGTCAGTAAAAATCTGGTCAGCATAAAGAATATGCTGTACGGCAGCACAGATTCCGAACCACCGGCCGACTATGTTGTCGCCCAATTGTCTCAGGAATTGTACAACAGCAATCTGTTGTTGTTACTGATACAAAACCTGCAACGCATAGACTTCGAGGGCAAGAAACACGTAGCGTTAATATTTAACAACGTTCTGAGAAGGCAAATCGGCACGAGATCACCCACGGTCGAGTATATTTGTACGAAGCCGGAAATCCTCTTTACCCTTATGGCCGGATATGAAGACGCCCACCCTGAGATTGCCCTTAATTCCGGTACCATGCTGAGAGAGTGTGCCCGATACGAAGCCTTGGCGAAGATAATGATACACTCGGATGAGTTTTTCAAGTTCTTCCGCTATGTTGAAGTGTCCACTTTTGACATAGCAAGCGACGCGTTTTCGACGTTTAAAGAGTTGCTAACCCGCCACAAGTTGCTGTGCGCCGAGTTCTTGGAGGCCAACTACGATAAATTCTTCACCCAGCACTATCAGCACCTGTTAAATTCGGAGAACTATGTCACCCGACGCCAGTCACTTAAGTTGTTGGGTGAACTGCTGTTGGATCGTCACAATTTCAGCGTGATGACACGATATATTTCCGAGCCGGAAAACCTGAAGCTAATGATGAACATGCTCAAAGAGAAATCACGCAACATACAATTTGAGGCCTTCCATGTTTTTAAAGTATTTGTGGCTAATCCCAACAAACCGAAGCCCATACTCGATATCCTGCTACGCAATCAATCAAAACTGGTGGACTTTTTGACCAATTTCCACACAGATCGTTCCGAGGACGAACAATTCAATGACGAGAAGGCGTATCTAATCAAGCAGATTAAGGAGTTGAAGCCACTACAAGAGGCTTAGTGCGCCAGCATAACACACGCCGCCGCCGCCTCCAGCCCTCAAACACACAGCAACAACAAATCCTATGAAGAATGCCAAAATGCATAAAAACGAACATTAAATAAAAAAGAACACACACACAAGACGTTAGAACTGCATGTAAAACAACAACCATTAGACCTAAACCAAGAAGCAGAAAATATTTTAGAAATTAACAACCAAACACACACACAACAAATACTAATAATATCCCGAACCCATAATATCACCACCAATGGCCACTCCTCAAAATGTCCTGGAAGTTGACGATGATGTTGGACTGGAATCAATTTGAAAACTGCTTGGCAGTATGGTTTTTGTTTTCCTTTTTCTAATGATTATGATGATTAAAAAAAGAAAAACAACATAGTAATAGTTTTTATTTAGTAGTTTAACAAAACGTGTTAATATAACGCGACAACCGAACCCGTTTAACGAACGACAGACAGACAAGTTGATGATGATGATGTTGAAGAGACACTACTTTTTAGCTTATACTACAAATTTATAAAGTAAAAGTAAAGAGAAAAAACATAAAACAAAAGAAAAACATATAAACACTTAAAAACAAAATACAATAATTTAATTAATTAAAAATTGAACATTTTTAAAAATAACTGAACAACAACTGAATTTAACAACTAAACTGAGAAAACAACAAAAAGTAATTATATTTTATAACAAAAAAAAAACAACAATTTAACAAATGCAGACACAACATAATTTGGGTATTTCATATCCTTACTCCAGGAGAAGTGAACGGACTAATAGAAGCAATCACGGTACGCAAACACAGACACACACACCCACACATACAGAATGTTGTAAATTTCAATTCCAAACACTTTTCCCTGTTAACTTAACTCAGCCAGTCATTATTTCTATATTCAGAAATCAATTCTTTGTATTGAGCAATATTAATTTATTCCCTATTCCCGATTCTCTTTTAAATTCTTGTAGATGATTTTCCTACATCCGCAACCATTACCCCTCTTCGTTATTTGTATCTCATTAATGTTAGCAAGATAATTTTTTCTTGAAATATTTGTTTAACTATGTGGAATTGAAAATGCATAAAACAATATTTATGTTAAGTTGAAATTTAATGGAAATAACTCACAGCTTATTGAAGAAAAACAACAACAGCAACAAATCAACAACAACAACATTACTGCATATATTATTATAAATTATATTATTATATAATAAAGGAAAGAAAAACAATAAAGAAAACACACTAAAAAGACATCAAAGTCGTAGCGTTAAAGTCGTTAAAAGAAGGAATTGAGGTATAATTTCTTTTTAGAGTCATCAATCAAATCAGTTGTTGTTATATGGTCTGTACGGTATACGGTAGGTAAAGTTTTGAAAATTCTATTTACATTACTTCGTTAGAGAGTATTTATTGCGGAAAGTAAGTACGCATTGCCTTACCCCCGACTGCATACCTATGGAGTTCGTGGAATTTGATTATGTGACATTACACATTGGAAAAACGTTTAGCATAGATATTCGTTTTATTTTGTATTCTTATCAACATTAGGTGAATGCAGTTATACAGGTGCGTGTGTATTTGACCCATTCATATTTTAGACATTGCACAGACGTTTATTGAAATCTTATTTTATGGGGGGAAATCTCAAGTAGCGGTGTTCTTTTTTAGTATTTGAAATAGTACTAACACCGTATTATTAAAAAAATAGGAATGTCGGGAAGTCTCAGGACAAAGAACTTTCATATTTGGAAGATTTAAAATTCTGATCGCATTTTTCCGTTTAAATTGTATTGGAGCTCGGCTTCTTTGAAATTTTAGTCTATGATGCAATAAAAAAATTAAAAATTTGTTAATTCAGTAAAATATTGTTTTTCTTGTTGCCAATAGTCGGCATAATTTTGCCAGAACAAAAATGTATTCAATCCATTGGTTTACATGTATTTTTAAAATAAAGTGGTATTAACGAATGTACTTTATCATATTTAAATACCATAATAACCATGTTAAAGGCGATTCAATTTATTTGCTTTATTGCAAATTCATTTTTATGAATTTAAATAGCTTTATAAAAATGTAATTAAAAAGTTGGTAGCGGAAAAAGTAAAATGACAAATATTTCCTAAAACAATACATTTTTATGCTTAATACAAAATTATGTTCTTTGTACGGTTTTTTAAGACGTACGTGCTAATTTTTTCATAAGAAACATGAATTTTTGTTAGTGTTAAATCAAACATAGTATTCAAATGAGGGGTTTAAAAATCTTTCGTACAGAAATCCCAAGAAAACGTTCTGTCTCTCGATTCAAATTCTATTTGAACGCCCGAGAAGTAGGACATAAATATATGTAAAGTTAACGTTAACTAAAAATATGATCGTGGCTATATAAACAGGCTAAAAAAGTGGAAAGGTCATAACAGTCGTCAAACATGGCAAATTTCAAAATACAAAATCTACACATATATTTTACCAAAAAAAAGCATATTGAGTTTATTTGATAAACCAAGCTCCAATATTATACAATGAATTTCTTATAGTTAACAAAAGTATGTTTTTAATCTTTTCTTAGTTGTACTTCTTTGACTTCAATGCCATCCTTGGTAATTATATTAATAATAACGGCATCACCGGTGTAAATGTCACGTTCGGCAGCTGAAATAAATGTATCCGTGGCGATGGCAACAGCACGCTCCTTGTCCACTTTGGGAATTTCACCATCCAGTTGCATGTTTTTGAAACCAATCTGGTTATCCAAAACGGGTTGTAGCAATGCCCCAGCGGTACCACCGGCTCTGTAAGTGGTACGTTCACAATGTCCAATTGGATCGTATGAATAGACAACACCCTTGCCTTCATTGTCCAAACCAGCCAAAACATTGGATACATAATAGGGGAAGAAGCGTTTGTTGTACATGATAATAGACAACATTTGGGCAATGGCATCGGTGGACATGGTCTTCAGATGGGTGTGCTCGTACATCTGCATGCGAGCTTTGACTAAAGCCGTCAGGGCCAAGGTATCACACCAGCAACCAGTTGAACCCAAAACAGTTTTCTCACTTAATTGGAAAAGTTTATTTTGCTTGCGTGTATGAATGGTGTATCCACTGCTGAGACGAGTGTCGGCTGCTATGACCACATAATCATCGCCTCCAATTGCCACAATGGATCTGCAAACAACATGACGAGTTAATAACACATTTAACCTTATACCGAACAAAAATCTACGCACCCTCCATTGGATTCATAAGGAGAAAAGTCCTGGTGTTGTGTGCCGGGAACTTTGTAATCTGGAAATTGTTCAATACCCATGAAATTCATTTTCGGCTATATTCTATAATTATTTTTGCGAAATTTGCAATAAATTGCCTTTAATTCCGGCTGACTCTTGAAGATGACAAACAATTTTGTTTAATGCCGAACCAGTTCAAAGGAAAGACTTCGTGAAATGAACGGTCGGAACCAATGCAGATTTTATAAGGCTGTCACAAGGTATATTTAATAAGGTAGCCGCATCGGCCCAGCTGTTGGACAAATAAATGTCAAAAATGTTGTTGTAATGTTGAACCAAAAAATTAAAAAACAAAATTATAAATGAAAATCTCCGAATTTCGAAAAGCTTTTTTGGCACTACTTTTATTAACATTTTCTACAAGAATTTTTGTAAAAAAATCTTGTCAATCTGTTTGTTTTTGCAAAATATTTTTGACATATCAAAATACAACAACCGATGTTTGTTGTAGAAATTCGCCGATGCGGCTACCTTGTATATCTACCTTGGGCTGTCACATTAACACAGCTGTTTGTACAATTAGCTGTCAAAATCAAAAAGCACGAATTTAAAAAAAATTTTTGGTGATACATTTAAGAATATTTTCCAAAATAATTTATGTAAACAAAATTATGAATCTGTTTTAAAATATTTTTGGCACATCTGAGTTCTACAACAGTTGTTGTAATCAATAGCTGATGCAGCTACCTTCTAACTTGATTGCAACGATATTTTCTCCATACAATACAATTTAAAATGGTTGTTGTTATGCAAGGGATATATCACCCATGGTACAATAACAAGAAGAAGGTTAATGGTACCCATCATGGTACAATGAATAGGTAGTCCATTTAGCGCAGCTGATGCCTTGATTAACTGTCAAAGTAATTTCTACTTGAGTTCTATGTGCAGTGTTGCCAACCATTTGAAATATTATATGGAAAAATTTGACAGATAATCGAGACAAAAACAAAGGTTTTTGTTTTGATACATCACCTTATTATTGCATCATGGTACCATGTTCTGAAAAAAATTTTACATTCCATTAATTTTTTCGCCATAATTTCCTTATTTCAGAAAATGGTAACAATATGTCAAATAAACAAACCACTTGTTAATATGACATTACACTAGACTACAATTTTTGTTAATTTCGTCAAGTAAGTCTACCTTTTGTTATTGTACCATGTTATTATACCGTGGGGTCAAAATGTTTTTTTTATTTTGATTGGCCATTTAATTTGGCATTGTCGATGTCGATGTATATATACATATATTTGAGATTGAAGCGGAAGACGATATTGCAATCTGAATTTAATCGATTATTTACTGTCCAACAATTATGAATGAATTCGAGGTTGACCGATTAATGACGGAAATAAGCAGAAACAAGCATCACTACTGATAGTGTGTACACCGCTATACACATCGACTTTGCGGTTTTAAGCTACGTAAAAATCGATTAGTCCACCTATATATCCCTAGCCGTATTTGCAAAAAAAAAAACATTTTTTACTTGTTGATTGGAGTTGGGCAATCTAGTTCACGTAGCGGATCGATCATTCTCGTTTCTTTTTTAAAAAGGAACTAGTTCCTTAATGTAGTTCCTTTGAACTATGTAATTACTTCATAATTAAGAGTCGAACCACGAATGAGAGAGGGAACAACGCTCGTCTGTACATGGCATTAGACTTTTCAATACAAAAAGTCGATTTACTTATCCCTAATCATAATTTGCCTAAACCTCATTCGTAAGCGTGGTTTTATATTTGCCGGGATCGGTGTTGAGATTTTCTCTCTCTCTCAGTGGTAAATTGTGAATTGTGTTGGAAAACATTACCACAGGTAGGAACAAAAAAGTGCGAAAAGGTACCTAAAATTCTACTTCAAATGATAATAAATAATAATTATCGAGAAATATTGGCCAATATTTATACCAGTTATTTGCATAAATAATATATGTTATAATTTAAGCGTAAATGTATTCACGAATAATAAAAAATCTAATTTTTGTTTTGGTACGTTTATGTCAATTCGTACCTTTTGTGAACAAAAAGTACGCATGTTACAAAATTAAAAATAGCGCAACTCTAATTACTCTCTCAAGAGAGAGAAACTCTCAACACCGATCCCGATCCCGACAAATATAAAACCACACTAAACAACACGGTTTCCATTTAAGTGGGCCACACACGTCAAACATGTGTTTTCGATCGGTGTGAAGCTTCTAGCCCACACACCTCAAACGGATCCACAAAACTTCATTTCATATTTATTTTTGAAGCGTAAAGATGAGCAGCGATAGTGATGGCGGAAAAAAGACCAAATATTTTTATTTAATATAAATTTAGTAAATACCTTTCTTTTACTCCGGGAAAAACATTTTTACTTCCCACATTGTAGGATATGTGTAAAAACCATCAAAAAATACTTCCAAAACATTTTTTGCATATGTTTGACATTGTCCTCTGCTCCGCACTCCACGAAATTTCACAACAAATGAGAAATTATCCACACACCAGGCCACAGACGTCAAACATGTGCGCGTCGCACAACGAAAAATTAAAAAATTTTAATTTCTTTCGATCGGTGTGCGCACCGCCAAATCGGTGTGAACACCGTACCACAAACGTCAAACATTGATTCGATTCACACCGATCGAACGCACATGTTTGACGTGTGTGGCCCACTTTAGTCTCTATCCCACCTCATTCGTAAACTTTCGGTTATACCATTCGATATTTATAATTTTTAGTAGAGATATTTGGTACGCAATATGAACCCAATGTACAAAATTGCAGCGAATTCGGTTGAAAAGCGCGCTCAAGAACCCCAAAATACCGAAATTGGGGGGTACCCTTATATGGGGGATATCCGAAAAAATTGACCTATATTTAAATTTTTTTGTGGAGAGATTTGGTACCTGCTAAGAACTCAAAATACTAAATTACAGCCAATTCGGTGAAAATACGATAAAAACCCAAAAAATACTGAAAATTAGGAGGTACCGTTATATGGGGGCTACAAGAAAAAGTGGACCTATATTTATAATTTTTTGTGGATACATTTACTACAAATTCGCTTGAAAAACGCGCTCAAGAACCCCAAAATACCGAAAATTGGGGGGTACCCTTATATGGGAGCTATGCCTAAACGTGGACCGATATATCCCATCTTCGAACTTGACCTGCCTGCAGACAAAAGACAACCCTATGCAAAATTTCAGCACCCTATCTCAATTCCTTCAGAAGATAGCGTGATTACAACAGACGGACGGACATGGCTAGATCGTCTTAGAATTTTACCCTGATCACGAATATATACTTTATAGGGTCGGAAATGAATATTTCGATGAGTTACAAACGGAATGACAAAATTAATATACCCTCCATACTATGGTGGAGGGTATAAAAAGTACTGGAACAGACCATTTGTTGGCGAAGGTTTGCGTACGACGTCGCTTGAGTCTTGGCAGAACGACGATTAACAAGCGAATTTTATGAAGGCTGGAGTCTTGGAGGCTTCCCACTGTTCTTTTGAATCTCTCTCTCTCTTATTATTTTTTTTTTTCGTTTTTCCATATATAGTTCCTTTGCTCCATATAGTTCCTTTGATCCATATAGTACCTTTGCTCCATATAATTCCTTTAGTCCATACAATTTCTTTGCTCCATATAGTTCCGACTCCTACATAGTTCTTTTGAATCTCTCTCTTTCATCATTCTTTTTTTCGTTTTTCCATATATATTTCTTTGCTCCATATAGTTCCTTTGCTCTTTATAGTTCCTTTGCTCCATACAGTTCCTTTGCTTCAAATAGTTCAAAAAAAGAACTGGATCAGAGAAAGGAATTATATTAATTAAAGTACTGGAACTAGTTCCGTTCGTTTCTTTCTCGGAATAGTTCCAATGAACTAGTTCGTTCCGGAACTACCCAACATTTTTTACTTGTTGATTCGAGTTGTTTTGTCTTTATTTAAATGTAGGATTAATGTTTTTTTTTAATATTTTAAGTGTGTGCGTTTGTATTCGGGATAGAAAAAGTTATTTGGCAAAAAGTTATAAATCCGTTTCAATCTAAAACTATCAATGAAAACATTTGCGGTTTGTTTGTTGTAATTGCAAATTGAGTTGCAAGTGCTTGTTTTGTGAGAATTCTGAAAGCAGCAACAAGAAGAGAACTTCCAATTGTCGAACAGACAAAAATAGAAAACAAAAAATCATGATTGTGTTGTGAAATGAAAACAAGTGCAAATTGTTATTAGTGTATAAATAACTCTAAATTTCTGTACAAATTGTCCATAATGTCCAAGAATACCTCACCGGTTTTAAGCTCTGTTGAGCCGCCTGCAATGACTGACGACTCTGCAACAACAATAGGCGAAGATTTTGTTCTTATGGCTACTCCAGATAAATTTAAAGACGTTGAACCAGCTGAGGATGAATCGAAGGGTGAGTTGCCAAACAGTCAGTTTGTCTATCGATGTTATGGAACACCTTTTTACACACTGCATGTTGTGTTTGAATGCTACTATAAAATTAAGGCTTAAATGCACTTTACGGACACCTCGCAGATCATTTTGAAATTTTTATCATAGGTAGGCCTTCTGATGCTGGTTACAACAACATACGTTTTTTGGGGAGAAATCAGTACTTCCCGAGATATGGGGTTCCAAAGTTCAAAAAATACCCCACTTTTTATTAAACATATTTAAGAATACCACTCCGAAACGTTTAATTTTTTTACAGCAAATAGTCCTTTTGGAGCTGATTAGAACCACATAATTTTTTTTGGGGAACTTCGTACTTTCGAAAATATGGGGTTCAAAATTTTAAAAATAAGCTTATATGGTTATTTCTTTGATTTAAGGATTTTTTCCTTTAGGGACACTCGGATTGTTCTGGATCAGCAGAGGTATGTATAATTTACATGATTACATAAATATGTTACTATGTGGGAGGAAGTCCATACTTCTTGAGAAATGGGGTTTGGAAAAAATAGGCTGGGGCCGGGGATTTAGTAATGAAGCTTATTAAATATGATTTTAATTTTATTCAATCACGTATAACTTTTAAAAAAGAAA